CTAAGAATACACTTTTTCGAGTTTTCGCTTGGTTTTTCCAAAAACGTCAAACGTTAGTATTTTCGGGAGATTTTTTGCAAACTTCCTCAAGATCCACAGTGAAAAGTGATTTAAATTCCACTAGCGTCTTGCAGCGTTGCAACTGAACATTTTCCTAAGATACACTTTTTTGAGTTTTTGGTTATTTTGACATTTTCCCCAAAAATGAACAGCCAGCCAAACATTCCTCCATATCTTCTCTATTAATGGTTTCCGCCCAAAACTCATCAGCAGCTTTTTTATGGACATTGAACTGCCCGAGCCAATGGCGTGCCCCGCGTTGCCAGATCTTGTACAGTTTCAGAGGTATCAGGAAATAACCTAGCGAGGCAAAAATCCGCACGATTGCACAACATCGCATTCGTCCGTCCGATTGACGAGCATGACGCAACATGCGAGGCAACCAGAATGATTATAAATCCTTATCGTTCCATTAATGTGCAATATCATTAGGATGAAGAGCAGCCATAAATCAAAAACTTTAATAATCTGTCATTGAGTACATCGAGATCGACTGGGCAACAGTGGAAACGAGAAAAATGCCTGCTTCAATGTAGAGAGCACGAAGCATAAGAAGCAGAAGACGATGATGATGAAGAAGAAGAAAAGGAAAAAAACGGCCAATTTAATCACATTCCTTCGCAATGTTTGTAATATCTCATAATTGTTATGTATGGAAGGAAGATTATTATGGGAAAATAATAATTTCGTGACCGTTGACCTTTGGGTGGCGTGTCTACTGGTTGGGTAGTGGGAGGGCCACCAACCTGTTCTTCAGCAAGTGTCTTCAGGGACGGGCGAGCGAAGAAACAGAGTGGAAATCGTCGAATGTTCGTCATTTTTCTGGCGTTTTTTTGGTACAAAGTGCAGATTTTTGGACCAATTTTACGATGGTTTAAGCGAGTGGCCCGCGATAGAGACGCACTATCGATGCAACAGATCGACACTCTTTTGGATGGATTTTGATGAGTTTTCATGGATCAAGTCGTGAATCAAACTCGGTGAAACTTCACAAGCGGCTCGCGCTCTTGAAACTGAAAACTTTTCTAAGACAACACTTTTTTTTTAATTCCGCTTTCTTTGCCCTATAACCTCAAAAGTAAGTGTTTTTGGGTAATTTTTTGCCAGTTTTTGCATTTTGCTAGGTTTTGCCAAAAACATCGAAAATTGGAGTTTTTAGGTTATTTTTTGAAATTTTCTTCAAAACTTATGAATGGAAGTCAATCAAATTTGGTATGCGCCTCGGACGTT